TTCTACTTTCAGATTTGTTTGATAAGCAGCAGCTTCTCCTAAACAGCTCTTTCTCAGCTTTGGACACCCCCCATTGTTTACTTAACTTTTAAGTAATTACTTATTGCAAAAACATACCATTGATGTAAAAAAGTATATATAATACATAATATAAAAGTGGTATATAAAAAGGTATTTGAAATAAAACTTCCCCATTTCTTTCTTCAGACAAAGCACTCTATGCATATACAAGTAAAATAATTGAACAAATACATAAATGCCAATATGTGTAGATATGCATACATATACTGTTATAAATAAATGGGATATATGTTATATATTTTCTGCAATGTGCTTTTTTGCCCATCATGAATATATTTCCATTTAAATACATAGAGAACTACCTACCTCATTTTAAAAAACAATGTCTCCAAAGTACCTCATAGTATATGGGATTTCTTTTCAGGGTATTAAAAATGTTCTAAAATTAGATTTTGGTAACGGTTCCACAGCTTTGTGAATATACTAAAAAAAAAAACCACTGAATTGTATTCTTTAAATTTTGTGGGTGAATTATATCTCAATAAAGCTGTTTAATAAAAGAGCAGGATGTCAAAAAAAATCCTATTCTAAGGAACTTCTATAATTTAACTAGTTCCCAGTCAATGGGCATTTAGGTGTTTGCAGTTCTTCATGATTATAAGTAAAACTGCATGGATGCCCCGTGCCTATCTTTGTGCCCTTGTAGATCTACAGGGAAGATTCTAGGGCTACACAACACAGCTCTGGAGGGGAATGAAAGAATTCTGATGTTAGCTGGTGTGGCAGAAGCCACCTCACATTTCTTCCAAGAATATAAAGCCTATAACATGTGTAAGAGTAAAATTTCTATTTGCAGGTGGGCCCATGTTCCCTCAGTGCTCATGAATAGAGGAGGAGGGTGAGGTGGTTTAGTCCTCTAATGACAATCTACCATAGCTGGGTATGGCTAGGCATCCTGGTGAGTACCCCAAATCTGCCTCTGCCAGCTGGGGTCTTAGGTCTGTTCCTGAATGGTTTTTTTTTTCTGAGCCATCCTGCCACCTGTTGGCAGCTCAGCGGCTGCTCAGCTTGGGCTGGACTCGAACCACTGTTGCTCAGAGCTCAAACTCTTGAGCGAGCTCTTAACCAACTGAGCCACTCAGCCGACCCCTGAATGGTTTTTTAGATCTGTGAAACAAAACAACTCCCGGCGTTATTATGACGATGGAGTGAGCTGGCCCATCTGATGGGCTGACCCTTGGCCAGAAGGTGCTCAGTAAGTGCTAGATCCTTCCCTTTGGCCCTTGAAAGACTCTAGGTGAAGGTGCAACAAACTCAGAGAGGCAAGAAAAATCCTGGTGACTCCATTCACGTGGTGTAGTTTCTGAGTGGTGACCCCCACAATTGGGAAGTCATCAACCCCGTCCAAGCATGGACACCAAAGCTCAGTATTCACAGCTGTAGAAAGATGGAGCAAGTCCCAAGAAGAATCAGGAGAAGGAGCCTCCTCCTTGGCAGCAGCCCAGGCCATCCCGGATACAGGAAAACTGGAGAACAAGGGGACATAGCCAGAGCCCCTGTCAGCCCTTATGAGGAATCACAGAGCCACCTTCTTCTAAGGACACCAATGTGACTTCATGTTAACTAATTACATCTGCAAAGACCTCATTTCCAGATAAGCTCACATTCTAAGGCTCTGGGTGGATATGAAGTTTGGGGGGCACCTCGTCAGCCAAGCATGGAACCTGTGGGAACAAATAAGAAATGAGATGAATAGTGAATTGCAGGCCATGTTCTGTTAGAGTGCCCCAATGAGAACAGCCCAGAACATCTTTTTACGCTGTACAAGAAACAGCGCAAAATAAACGATTTCTATTTCTGGAACGAAAAACGGTTTGATTATTATACCAAAAAATAAGAACAGCACTCCGAAGTTGTGTTGTGCGTAAATGGGGCTCAGAAGTTGTCATGTGACAAGTTGAAAACACCAAATACATTTAACCAAAATGGTAATTGTATTCTGGCAAATCTCATTGCTCTAATAAATTCTATAATCTCAGTGAGCAAAATAATGAAAATAATATCTGAAATCTGTTTCACACATGTATTTGAAATAAAAATTCTGTAAATGTTCAAATCAAGACTGCATCTATAGGATGGACCTAGAGGATATTATGCTAAGTGAAATAAGTCAGACAGAGAAATACCATATGCTCTCACTCACATGTGGAATTCAAAGAACAGAATAAATGAGCAAACAAAACAGAAGTAGACTCATAGATACAGAGAACAAACTGATGGTTGCTATAATAGATGGGAAGGGGGTTGGGTGATGCATGAGAAAGGCGAAGGGATTAGAAAGTACAAACTGGTAGTTACAAAGTCATCACGGGGATGTGAAATACAGTACAGGGAATATAATTTAACAATATTGTGAAGACTATGTAGAGTGTCAGAGTACTGACATACTTCATAGATTATATAAATGTTTAACCACTGCACTGTACACCTGAAACTAATATAAAATAATATTGAATATCAAATATAATTTCATATATATATTCACGGGATGTAAAGTACAGCATAGGGAATATAGTCAGTGGTATTGTAATAGCTATATATAATATCAGAGGGCTAGGAGACCTGGTGAGGTTATCACTTTGTGAGGGGTGAAAATGTTTAATAATTATGTTGTTTTATACATCTGAAACTAATAAAAAAAACTGTATCTATAAAGCATTGAGACTATTCAAAAAATGTTAGAATTTTTAACACAATCTAATGTATAGTTATAAATATTTTTAGATATGAAATTAATAAAATTTCAAAAAAGAATAAAAAAGCATGGGTGTACCGTTGTGACCTAAATTAATGATCCATCAGGGGTTGAGGATTTAAAACCATGAACAATATCGGTGACATAAAGAGAAATTCTCTATTTATTGAACTACACATTATCCAATGGCCACCAATTTCAAAGAATTCATTGGAAAAGCCCAAGGCAGTTTCCCATGTCAAATCATCCCAGACAGTGAGCCCTGTCTCAAAAAAGCCACACCAACCATTTCTAAACATCAACAAAATTTTGAAAGTTATGAGAATGATTCAATGAGTGATTTGCAGGAAAGTTCATATCACTTGTTAAGTAGATTTGTAATATAGCTTAGGTTATTTAGAGATAAAGTGGGGTGGTCATGGAATATATTTTAAAATTTTGATCCATGCATTGAATTACATATTTGTATAACTGCATTGGGTGTTTAATGTTTTTAATAATACCCCTGCACACCTCATAGAGGTTTTGTAAGAATTAAACGAGATTATCAGTGTAAAGCTCTTAGACAACAGAAAAGAATATAAAGATAATTTTTCTGTTTGTATGACTATATTTATTGTTATCTATCTTATCAATATGGTGAATTACTGTGGCTTGACAAAATGGATTTGGGGCCTCAAGAAACGTGCCAGGTGCATGGGTAAACATTTTCTTTCTCCATTTGAGATGCCACTTCCGATTTATTGTGCAAACTTTGACAGATTGGGTTCCTTTTCTGGGGGGCCCCATGAAAGCGCTCCTAGCAACGATGACTAAACAGCTGTAAGTAGCACTTCCTCTGGTTTCCTCTGCTGTCTTTGTGTCAAAGCTGCGGTCTGCGGGCTTCTTACCCCATCTGAAAGTTCCACACATGTCAGTTTCTCTGAAAGGCTTCCAATTGTCCCACAAATGACCCAGTCCCACCCCCTGCCCAGGCAAGGATAGGTGAAATGCTGGTGGGTAAAGTGTCAAAAACAAAACCTCCGATTCCCTTTAGCAGAAATTCTGGCATTCCCAGGGTCATCCCACACGAGATCCAACCTGTGGGGTTCTTTCCCCTCCCTCTTCTTTAGAGAAAAGAAATTGCCACCAATATCACAGTATGAAAATCACTGTCAATCACTGAGTGCCATCTTTTTTACAAGAGTAGGTACCTGAAGAGTAATTTTTACTGTCAGAAGAGAATAAAGGCCTTTTGTGAACTGAGGGCTAAATAAGATGATTTGTTTCCAGACAGTAGTGGCCAGGCAGGGAAGAAGTGGGGATGATAGCAGCAGGCCCTGGCTCTCCTCAGACCCCCAGTGGTGACTACATATGGGACTAGGAATGGCTGACCACTACAGGCTTGGTACCTGAGGAGCCCGAGCAAGGAGCACCTGGGTGAGTTGATACTGGAGGTTGGATGATGTCCTGGAAGAACCCATACCTGGGCAGGGACCTGGCTCCCCACAGAGAGGGCACCTGTCAACAGGCATGTGCAAGACCTACTGTTGCAACCTGAGTGGCAACAAGAATCAGTAACCCCAGTGGCCCAGTCACAGCTCCCTCCATTTGGGGAAACTCTCAGCATTCCCCACGCCTCACGTCACACTGGTGACACCAGAATATGTGATTTTACTGCTACGTACATTTCACAGAACCAGGAGAATTCCAGATCAGGTAGAAGTAAACCACAATACACTGTGGCATGAAATTTAAAGGCTCTGAGACAGCTGGGCTCCTTGTTAAAATTCAGATTCCCCAGTAAGCCTGGAGTAGGGCCTAGGAATCCGCATTTAACAAAATCAGGCATTCTGATGCTGCCATGCTTGTGTGTGTCTGCTCCAGACCATCCATATTTGTTTCCCGTGACTAAACAAAACTTCCTTTTTTTTTTTTTTTTTGCTATAGGCCGAATCCAGAGAGAGAGACGATCAGGTGGGTTTACACAAAGACAATGTAATAGTCCTATTTTTAACTTTCTTTGTCCCACTGTTCAACGGGCCATCCAGCCTGACGTAGCAGCAACTTGGCGCATCTCTCTCTTCTTAGGAAAACTCGCTGAGGAACACAGGTCGGTCATACCAACCAGTCCTATTGTGTCAAGCTTGTACAGACAACTGTGCCTCCCGTAATTTGTTCGAAAAGGAGGAAGTTCTCTAAATGACTCACCCCCATGGTGCCCCAGCGCCTCCTTTGCCCTCCTCTTAGATTTCATTCTGGAGACTGGGGGGCCCCTTGAACAGACTGCTCTTCAGGGCATTTTTCTTCTGTCACCTCGAAGGCTTGCGTCTCCAGACCAAACCATGATGTGGAAAAAGAGCTTTCTTGCGTTTCTTCTCTCTCTTTCAGCTCTAAAACCTGCACCGGCTTCTGGGAACAATACAGAAACAAACAAAAAGAACAACAAAGAAAAAAGTAAGTTTCATTTACTTTTCTCTTGTACTAAAACCATCTTCACCGAAACAGAAGATGGTCAGCTAGCAACATAATCATTCGCGAGGAAGTTTTTCTGTGCTTTTAGATGAACAACCAAAGAGTAAAGTCTTTTCCATTACATGCTGTTTAAAATGAAATGATTTTAGGGAGGGAGTTGAAGTATCTTTCTTGAGTTTCAGAGACAAAATATTGATGTTGTTTTTACATTGAAATGTTTCTTTCTTTCTCTGTTGTTTCTTAATTAGAAAATCCACACACGGTTGTTATAAAATAATTCAAGCAATGCTAAAAATATATTATTAGGAGGCAGTTTATCAGCATAAAGCTAAGCTAACCAGGGTTGTGGTCCTCACCCTGGTTCTACTGTTTGCCAGCTGGCAGCCTGAGTACATGAGGCAACCACTTGAAGCTTCATGTCTTTCCTCTGGGAAGTGAGGTTACTAAAAGCACCTACCTGAGACAGCTGTTGTGAGAACTAAGCGAGACAAGCCATGTCCCTCAGCACAGTACCTGATGTATGGTAAGCCATCAAGAAATGCTAGCCCAGGTTGTCAGTACATAAAATGTGAAATTTCTTTACACCCCCTCCAATCCCTCTCCCCTCTCCCCTTCCAGAAGCAAGAGCTATTAACAGTCATTTTCTATTCAATAGCCTGGTAAACAAACTCTTCTGTGGCTTGTCCTTTTTTCGTTTACAATAAATCACCAACATCTTTTTAAGTAGTAAATGTACATTTAGCTCTTTTCCCCAATAACTGCATGGCATTTCATGATATGAACTCAGCCATAATTCATTTAACCATCCCCTTACTGAGTGTTCCTTTTGTTTTGTAATATAAACAATGGTGAATAAACATCCTTGTACAAAACAAGCTTTGTGGATACATGAAAGTGTGAGAGCATCTCTGTAGGATGAGAGCCTAGAGGTAAAATTGCCAAGTCAAAGGGCATATCCATTTAAATTGTTACAGACAACTTACAGAATAAGTTGTCCTCCAGCTCACTGAACCTGTACCTGGTCACCAACAGTGACCACTCACACGAATGAGTGTGTTTCCCCATCCCTTTTCCAAGGGTGGATACAATCAGTTTTTTAATTTGTACCAATCTGATAAGCAAAAAATGATCTCAGTGTTTTAATTTGCAGTTGCCTCATCACTTGTACAGTTGAGCATCTTTTTCATGTTTCTTGACCACAGAAGCTCTAGCCTTCCCATGTAAAGGAAATTGAGGGATGGCTATCTGGTTGGAAAGGGAGGTAAGGGCTTGTCTGAAGCTGAGAAAATGTTGATTGTCCAGATCAAAGAGTGGAAAGGAGGTGGATGGCATTTTTGAGTGATCTGAACCCCTCCCTCCACCCAACCCATCCCGTGGCCCCAGCACTATTTAATGGCCTTCTCCATTTCTTCTTCTGGGAATTACCTATTCATATTATTTGCCCATTTATTTTTGTGTCTTTTCTTACTGACTTGCTGTTGGCTCATGTATGAATATATAAAAAGAATCCTTTGCTTTTATTTATGTTTTTTCCCCCTAGGCTGTCACTGATCTCAATTTTGCCATAGACAAGTTTAAAGTTTTAGGGAAGTCAATTTTTTTGATCTTTTCTTTATGGCTCCTATTTTGTGTGTCTTCCTTGTAAAACCTTTTCTTAGCAGGTGATATAAAAACATTTCTCTATATTCCACTTAATTCTTTGATAGTCTTACATTTTTACATTAGATTTTCTGATGAGGGTTAATTTTTCCTTTGGCACTTTTAAATAATCATTACAAACACACCAGCTATCAAAGACTACTGGGATTGGGGTGACCAGTTAGCTCAGTTGGTGAGAGCGTGGTGTTGATAACACCAAGGCTGCCCGGTTCTATCCCCGCATGGGCCACTATGAGCTGTGCCCTCCTTAAAAGAGTCAACTATGCTATTGTAGCATGAAAATAATGTGTAACCTATGACCATGGCTGTTCCCCAATAAAAAAATATAAATAAACAAACAAACAAGTTAATTAAGTAATTAAATAAAAGACTACTGGGATCATGTCTACAGGACTCAGACGCTGGTTTGGAGATACTTCCCATGGCCAAAAAAATGGAACAATAAAAATATTAATCTTAATGGATTGAAACACATGAACTGCATTTAAATCTAGGAGTTCACAAAGAAAAATAACAACAATAAAAGAAAAATATCTCACAATTATAAGATGCTAGAAAACCAATTCATTATTTTCAAAATTGGTTATGCATTTATTCTGCCTTTTCTATGCAAACTGTATGTTAGTGTAACCAAAGAGTTGACAAGGGCAAGTTTCTCTTCAGATAATAAATGAAGAAGAAATAATAGAATTAGTATGTCACCTTTTGTAACCTCCAATGTTATAATGCTTCCAAGTGATGAGTGTCAAACCCCACTAACAAACAAGAAGAGAGATAATTAGACATTACGTGCTTCTTAATGGAAAGACACACACTAACCCCTATGCTGCATCCTTGATAAATAAAAGCTAATTTGAATCAAGCCTCTGGACAAGGGACAGAAGAGAGTGGTAAAGGATACCATGGGAATGTGACCATCATAATCTAGACCATGGAGGGCCAGTCGAGTGGCTCAGTTAGTTAAGAGCTTGCTCAAGAGTGTGAGCTCTGAGCAACAGGGTTGTCAGTTCCATTCCCACATGGGCCAGTGAGCTGCGCCCAAGCTGAGCTGCTGCTGAGCTGCCTGCTGGTGAGAGCACATGCTCCTAACAAGGATACCTGTTCGCAATGGTAGGCTACGCCCACCTGCAACTAAGACTGAACTCGGCACCTTAAACTGAGCTCCCTCCGGGATGGCTCAGTGGATACAGCATGCGCGCTTAACAGCGAGGCTGCTGGTTCAATTCCCACAAGGGATGGTGGCTATGCCCACCCACAACTAATTGAACACAGCACCATAAGCTGAGCGGCACAACTGGACTTGGAGCTGAGCTTGCTGCACCCTCAACAACTAAGATTGAAGGACAACAACTTGGCTGTTCCTCTTCCCCAATTCCCCAATTAAAAAAAAAAAATCTAGACCATGGAAAACACTACAGAACAAACAATTCGCTATAAACTTCAGGGTGGGAAAAAGAGGTGGAAAGGTCTATAGATCTTAAAAGACATAAGAAACATATCAATTGCAACCTATATAATTTTATTAACCAATGTCACCCCAATAAATTTAATATAATAAAAGCTTTCTTCCATTACAAAGCACATGATCATGCAGCCAAAAATTGAAACGAAAAAAACCTATCAACTAATTACAATGGACCATTTTGAATCCCAGAAAAAAAAAAATCAGACAATTGGGGAAATTTTAACACTACCTAGATATTTGATAACATTTTTAAAATGTTAATTTTCAGGTGTGATAATGGTATTGTTTACAAGAGAGTGCTGATCTTTTAGAGGTGCAAACTATTAATGTACTCCAGCTAAAGACCACCAAAGATACAGGCATCGTTGAACAAAGTTAGGTTTGAGGAGAAAATGTATACCATGGAATGTCTCATCAAGAGGGCATTAGAAAGATCTGATGATAAGATTTGGACCTGTGTTAAGTGATTTGGAGGAAGAGTCAAAGCAGCAGGCTTTACTCTGGAATGGATTCTTCTAGGAAGTGGAAATCATGAGATGATTGGGTATTTTAATAATTCTTATCTAAAAGGCAAAAACAGAGCAAAGGAAAAGCTGTGACTGATAAAGAAGCAGCAGTCACTCAGATTAGTCAGTTTAGGGGGACATTTGGTCATTTTTGTGCTGTGGACAATGTTCATGTCTTTATCTGTGTTCAGACATGATTATGGAGTCGTCTTGTTTTTGTCTTGATCCAACAGGCTCACAGAGTGGCCTTGTCGGGTACTGGTGTTCTAGCTGTGAGTGACAGGTCAGTTTCTAGCAAGGTCAGTTCCCAACTGTCAGGAGCCGCTTTTCTCTTTCTCGATACTGAAATTTATGGATGAAATAACATGCGGTCTGGGGTTTGCTTTAAAATAATGGAAAGGGGTGGGGGCAGGTGAAACAGGATCGACCATGAGTTGGTAATTGTTGAAGCTGGGTGACAGGCCATAGGGGATCATGATACTCTCTTCTCAACTATGGTGTTTGAAAATTCTTATTTTCCAGAATAAGAAATTTAAAATAAATAATGGACAAAACAAGCCATTTGACATAATGTTTGGTCATAGAACTTGGAATTTTAATATTTCTAAATCAGCGTAGCCAGTATTTAGAGATCCCACTTCAGGCTCTCACTGGCAGAAGTAGCAAGCACAAAAGAGATGTGAAGGCCACCCACCTGTCAGTGGGAGGGGTGTCTGTAAGTGCTGGTCAGCCTGGCTGTGCAGGTAAGAAATGCCCCGCTTAGGGAGGAAGGTTCGCCAGGGACACTGTTGCCACCATCTTGACCCACAAAATGTGGCCAGACGACCACTGAGTTATTAACAAGTGACACTAACAAGAACTCTCTCTTGTGTTAGCTTGTTTTCCAGAATTCACTCATCCACATTTGGTCTCAAAAACGAACGTAGTCATGAAGGGTCAAAATGTATCTCTAATTTGTCCCAACCAGAACAAACTCCCACAGATCACCTATTCTTTGTTTTGGAATAATCGACACCTAGTAACCCAGAAAGGTGAACCCGCGATTTTTAACCTAAGCATCACAGGAATCCATGCGTTGGGGACCTACAAATGCAAAGCCCAAGTTCTCAACTGTTCAAAATACAGTCATCCGTTTAACTTCACATTTGTTGGTAAGTAGAGCACTCCTTACTTGGGGCCCTGAGATTTGTGGGACTCTTTTCCCATTCTGCAATGGGCAATCCACTCCCCTTGTGAGCATTCATTCAAGAGCCTGTAAAGTATGTCATTGAGATCTTTATTCTTAATAATTCCATTTCACTTTCTCCTCCAAAGACTTTTTGGCTATTCCACATAATAATAGGATGTTTGCCTTAGACAAAAAGTCTAATAGCAACAATCTGGAAAATTGTTGAGATCTTTTCTAGATGCTTTACTCTAGGATTCCCATCAGGTAGGCAAAAATGATTTTTCCTTTGAAGATTCCAGTAAGAAGTCTTAGCATCAGTGTTGGACCTTGTGGCAAGGGCCTTCTAAGCCCAGGTCTTGCCCACCTTCTTCCCTTTGCAGGGACCACCCACCAGGTGTCCCATCAGCATTTCCTGCCCAACCACGTTTTATAACTTCTGTATTTTTCTCTCCCATCTTCCCACCCAAAGACTCTCACAACCTAGCATTAATGGGCTCCTTTATGAAAGTGACCTTGGTAATGAACTCCTAGGAGAGGGCGAGAGGGCTTCCAGGTAGTACATGTACAGTGTACCTGGAGTCTTCTAAACATAGGCACCAGTGACTTACTGATCAAATCTTTGAGTGATACTCTAGGTCTATGCTCTCCAGTATGATAGCCACTAGCCACATGTGGCTATTCAAATTAAAATTAGATGAAGTAAAAAATTCAGTTCCTCAGTCTCAGTCGTCACTTTTCAAGTGCTTAGTAGCCACAGGTGACTGGTGTATTAGATAACAGAGACAAAGAACATTTCCATCATTACAGAAAGTTCTATTGGACGCCTCTGCTCTAGGTCAATGGTTCTTAGCTTTTTAGGTTATAACTGTTTTAACAATCTAATGATAGAGATGGATACTTTCCCTAAGAAATACTCATGAGACTCTAGATGTGAATTGCTGCACAAGGCTTTAGGGGATGCTATGGGCTCTGGATTAGAACCCATTTTACGACAATATTGAACACAAACTGAATAAAAGCCAGAATTGCAAAAGAAATGTGAAGAAGGGGGTGGGAGAAAACCCCTGCAAACGTGGGATGTAGTGGATTCGTTAAGGGCAGTACCCTGACTGATAATGTTCTCAAGTGCTCAGACTCCCACTGGATTGGGCAGCCTGGTATTGCAGAAAGTACAATAAAATGGGCATCAGGAGACGTGTGTACCACAACTTTCTGTGCAACTTTGGATATACCATTTACATATACCTTAGATATATCGCTAGTCCTCAATTATTAAAATATGAATTGATGTCACCCTGACATTATCTAATTTTAGCTCTGGATGAGAATCTCGGTTCATGGTGGGCAGAAGGGGGTGTGGAGGGCAGGCACTTACTTAGCAGGGAAAACATCTGATTGCCCGTCAAATCACTGAGTTTCGATGTGAGAAAAGATGGCAAGACTCACCACTGGTGTGGGTTTCTTCCCTTTGGGTAACAGGGGCCTACGCTCCTACAATGAAGAAGCTCCACCTTAGATGATTCATAAACTTGATAGCTGAAGTCTTAAATCAACTGGTCTTCATTTCCTGGCCTTCTGTCCCACAGATATGTATAAAATCTTCCCATATCCTGCCTTCCAAGTAAATGCACAAGTTTCCTGCCATAAAACTGTATCATCTTCATTTAGGTCAGATTAATAGATAACTATTGAGTGCCTACCCTGTGCAAGTCATTGAGTTGGGTACTGCCGGGGTTTTAATGATGCCTAAGACACGATCTTGTCCCCAACCCAGTCGGGGATATGAGCCATGAACACAAATTCATTAATCACTGATTCACTCCTAAAATGTTTAATGGCATCTCAGATGGGCCAAGCCCTGGATATACATTACTTCCTGCCCTAGTGGAACTTACAGTCTCGTTGGGGAAACACAAAACCCAAGTAGCCGAACAAATAAATTCAGAACCACAAACTGTGTTGATTGTTATAAAGAAAAAGAAACTGACATGGTGATGGAGAGAAGCAGTGGATGGGAGGTTGGGAGGGATCTCCTTAGGGTAGAGATAGGAAAGGCCTTTCAAAGGGGGTGACATTTAAGTAGAGCCCAGAAGGATGAGCATGAGTTAGCTACGTGAAGAGACAGGGAAAGAGGGCTTTAATTAAGGGACAAAAGCCTATGCAGGGGCTCCAACTTGGGAAAGAAATTAGCTGGTTGGGAAAGCCCATATGGCTGGAGGTCAGATGAGGGATGTGTGACTCCAGGTGAGATTGGCCTATGACCCAATTTATCACCTTGAGAGAGAATTCAATCTAAGTGGGTCAGGGCCACAGTCGATCATGTTGGGGATTGGTTGGGAGGCTCTTGCAGTCATCCAGGAGGCAAAAAAAGGTGGGGATGGACAGATGTGGGTGGATTCAAGATATATTTTGGAGGAAGAAACAACAGGAATTGCTAGATGATGAGACTTGGAATCAGAGGCAGCGAAGTTGAGGAAGAAATCAAGAATGACTTCCAGATGTCTAATGTGATCAGCTGATGAGGCACGGTGCCATTTAGTGAGATGGGCAAAAGCGAAATCATGGGGCCGTGGGGAGCTGCTCGATGGGTATAAAGTTCAGGTTATGCAAGATGAATAAATTCTAGAGATCTACTGGACAGTGTCGTGCATACAGTTAATAATATTGTATTGTGCTCTTAAAAATTTAAGAAGGTGGAGCTCATGTTAACTGCTCTAACCACAATAAAATGAACGAATGAATACATTTTTTAAAAGAATAGGATTTTAATATGAGTATGTTTATTTACCTACGGATCGATTTATTAACTAGCAGATTAACTAGAGTGCAGTTTCAAACAGGTTATGTTCGAGGTGACTACGAGACATCCAAGTAGATCATGTAAGGAGAGGTGGAAAAGAAATGCTAAAAGGATGAGACGAAGGGCTAGAGGAGGAGGAGGAGAGGGGAGCACTTCCCTCTGGGGGATTTAGGGAAGGTCTTACGAGGAAGGTGGCAGCTGACTGAGCCTTAAAGGATTCCATGAATTTTTATAAAATATATCTGATTTATTGCATAGGAGCAACTCCTTTACCCTGATCACTGTGATGCTATAAATGCCCTTTACTCGTCCTGTTACAAACTCGCAGGAAAGTTTACGCCTTTCTAATCAATGTAGATATCAACCCTTGGTCCCGTTTGACTCATTCCTATCTCAGAGAGGAGTCCATGCTCTCTGCTTCCTCATAAATGTTTCAACGCCTTCTTCCTGAAAATTGTAGGAGGTAGATTTTCGTTCCACAGGAATAAGGTCCTATTGGTGCTATTCCCGGACAAAGCTGCTCTCTGAGGCCACCATCACTAGGTGCCGCTCTGTTGAAGATGCGGCCATAACGATTCTTACTGAGGGAAGGAGTGGGGCAAGGAGACTCTAAATTATTTTCTTTGATTTTATTTATACTTTGGTCCCTGCATTTTATTGTTTCTGTGCCAAATTAATATTGTAAAAAAACAACAACAATCCACTTGGAGGTTGGCCCTGGCTCTGCCATTGACTAGCTGTGAACTTGGGAGAGTTTCTTAACCTCTGTGAATCACAACTGGCTCATCTTGTGGAATGGGCGTGACACTGTCCACCTTGCAGTACTTTTGTGAAGTGAAAGAGGGGATGTGGGTAGCAGGCCCGGACCATGATCAATACTCAACAACTATCTTTCCTTTCCTACAATGCTGTTTTATTAATGCATTGTATAATAAATCATATAGCTGGATTCTCCAAATAGGGTATGACTTGATAAGAGCCTATCAGACGCACACATTTCCTGTCGAGAAGTTCCCTTTAATCTATTTATCAGGGTTACTTCCTGTTTAGACCTTTCCCACAGGGCTGCAAGCTTCTTGACTTCTCAAGAAGGGCATCCTTCATCTTTGGGTCCACAACCGGGAATAGAGCAGGGGTTTGATCCATGTTTGTGACTGAGCGAGTACACCCAATCTACCTTTCCCTGTAACGTGTTTCGTTTTTCTAGACCCAGTGACCACGCCAGTGCTGAACGTTAATGTCGTTCAAACGAAAACAGACCGATATATAACACTACACTGCATCTCGTTCAATGGCTCTCTGCCCATCAATTATACTTTCTTTGAAAAAAACACCTCTGTGTCACCAGTTATTTCCAAGGATGTAAGGGAGCCTGCTGAATTTAATTTAACCAGGAACACTGGAGAAGTGGAAGAGTATAGATGTGAAGCTAAAAACAGATTGCCTAACCATGCAAAATACAGTCAACCCGTCCCCATATTCTCAACAGGTAAGGGCTACCTGAGCTTTTCCCATAGGGTCTGGATTTGCTTCTAGAAACTTCTTCCGCCTGTCCACTTCCCACTTTGGCCAACTGCTTCCAAGTACCTTTCCTTTGGTATGGTCCACACAAACTCTGATGGGGTTGCTTTCCGCAAAAAACAAACAAACAAACAAACAAACAAACAAACACCTAAATGCTGGGGCAGGAAGGGACCTTGTTTTAAGACTTCCTGTCTTGACCTTCACTGCCCAGGTTCTAAGTAATCACATTAGAATTTGCATTTCTCTTGGAGCTGCAAGGTCTCTTGATTTTCTTTTGCTTTTCGTTGTTTTTAAGTGACTCCTAACACCCGTGCCTGCCCGCATGGCTCGTTATTGCCCCACTGCTAATGCTTGGTGAATCTAGACTTCCAGGACCACCCTTAGCTTGGGGCAAAAGGGGCACCAAGGAGGAGTCCAGGGGGCCATGGGGATATGTCCAGCTAGGCCTACATCCCTACTTTCCTACACCACACTCTGGGTACCTGGATCTGAATTCTCTACCCAATCAGATCAGAATCCACCTCACAGGGCTCACGTAAGTTTCTTTCCCAGCTCATCTTCCCAAGGGTAGACCACAGTGAGGATGTGAGAATTCCTGGACCCTTGTCAAGGTTGCTGCTTATGGAGGGTGTGAATGGCATTTGGACATGCAGGCTGGAGGGTCCACATGCATGGGAGGCCCCTAAGGGTGTAGCTCAGAGCCCGGGTGCGAAGAGGGCGAGGCTGGAGCTGGGGCTGGCTCTCCCCATGCTGCCTGCTGTCAAGAGTTACAAGTGTCCATAACAGTATTGGTACTGGGTGCACAGGACATCGGTTCCCTTGGGAGACAGTGCGATTGCCCTTTCCGGAACACTTCACATTCAACAATATTGAAAAAGAAAGCTGTATGGTGACCAGTGAATGCTGTCTTCTTCCAGGTGGAGACGGCTGTCGTTTCTGCCTGTGGTTACTGCTTCCGGGGTTATTATTGGTGCTAATCATAATCATCCTAATTCTGGCATTTTGGATACTACCAAAGCACAAAGCAAGTAAGTTCTTCAGGAGCTTTACCATTGTTTTCCATGGGTTTTGGATACAGACAGCCGGGGAGAGGGTGAGGAAGAAGGGAAAGGGGAGTCAGAAATGGATATGAAGAAAATGAAAGAGAAGGAAATTCTGCAAAAGGGTTAATGAAATAGACTTGATGCATGATTCACATGCAGGATAGTTCCGGTTTCTCTGGTAAGAGCTTTTCTTATTTAGATTGCTCATAGGTACGTGATCTATGCAGTCACACAGGACTCCGTGCCAAGAAGCGCCCCACACTTGATTTAATGTTTTGTTGTCACTGTTCTGAAATTCTTAATACATTGTTTGGGTTTTTGTAACTCTTTCTAAAATTACTTTTTAAATTGTGGTAAAATATATATAACAATAAAATGTGCCACCTTAACCACTGCTAAGTATACAGTTGAGCAGCATTAAGTACATTCTCATTGTTGTGCAACCGTCACCACCATCCACCCACAGAACTGTTCTCATCTTGCAAAACTGAAACTCTGTGCCCATTAAACACTAACTCATCATTCATTTCCCCTCTTTCCAGCCCCTGGCAGCCACCATTCTACTTCCTGTCTCTGAATTTGTCTACTCTAGGGACCTCCTAATAGTGGAATCATACAGCATTTGTCCTTCTGTAACCAGCTTATTTCTCTTAGCATAATGTCCTCAAGGTTCATCCATTTTAAGCATGTGTCAGAATTTCCTTCTTTTTTTTTGCTTTTACTTTTATTAGCATTTATTTGATGTTGAATTTACTCCCGGGCCATAAGTGTTTGTTTCTTCAGTTTCTTCTGGGAGATCTTTTTCTTCTGTGCAACCTCCTCTTCTGGTTTAGGAACAATTTGTTCCTTTTCAGTTAGGATCATCTCAGTGTGGCAGGGAGAGCTCATGTAGGGGTTGATCCGTCCGTGAGCTCTGTAAGTTCTGTGCCGCATCTTGGGAGCTTTAGTTACTTGGATGTGCTCTATGACTAGAGAGTCTACATCTAAACCCTTAAGTTCAGCATTACTCTCTGCATTTTTAAGCATGTGCAATAAAAATTCTGCACTCTTTTTGGGCCACCGACCCTGCGTCCAACCCCACTGTTCGGCCTGGGCACACCTCCCAACTCCACCATTGTAACGACGGAAGGGCACACATTGTTTTTGTAATGTGACATCCTTTAGATATTTGGTGGCTTTTCGGATATGCATACCCTTGATGGCCTGGGCAGTTTCACGAGTGTTCTTAAAATGAACCCGTAGATTCGAACCTCTCGATTTACATGATTTTGTGGGGTTCTCTGGGTCAAGAGAATAGCAAACCATTTTGAGAGGTCATCTCAGGCTGCTTTTGGGAAGAGCTCCTTCATTTTTAAATCTGAAGAATATTTCATTATAGATAGATACATAGATACAGATATACACACTTTGTTTATCCATTCATCCATCAATGGACTCTCGGGTTACTTCTGCCTTTGGACTATTGTGACCAGTGTGCTATGAACATGGGTATACAAATCTTAAGAATTTTTTAACAAGAGGCACCGCATTTTTACTTTGCACTGAGCCCTGCAAATGATGTAGCGGGTCCTGACTGCCAGCTCAGCAAAGGCAACGGCTTTGCCTTGTATTTTTCAGGCTGGTTCGGCCACTCGGAGGGCGCTCAGTACATGATGATAAGCCAGAGCGTCCTTCCTCCCTGCCTCTCCTTAGCAAGCCCGTTACTGCTTTTCACTCTTCACATCTTATGACCATCTCTACCTAAGGTTTCAAAATGGCCTTTTCATTTGGCACACAAGTATGGAAGAACATCAAGATTTGCACGACGAGCTGGCCGAGTGGCTCAGTTGGTTAAGAGCTCACCCAAGAGTGTGAGTTCTGAGTAACAGCGGTTCGATGCCCCGCCCGAGCTGAGCTGCTGCTGAGCTGCCAACAGGTGGCAGGACAGCTTAGTTAAAATTAAAAAAAAAAAGATTTGCATGAAAGACATTTTGTGTCTCAGACTTGGCACCCACAAATGAGCTGAGGGGCACTGGGCAGGCTCCTTTGCCTGCCTGAGCCTCAGCATTCTGACCTGTAGAATGGGGCTGCAGGCATTAAGTCTCACAACGGGGCAGGGGGGTGGGGCGGCAGG